ACCACTAACTAATCTGTCCTCCATTTCTTAAAATTTCTCATTTCAAAAAGTGTTATATAAATGGAATCAGAGAGTATATGTAATCTTTTGGATTGGCTTTCTTCACTCAGCAAATTCCCTGGAGATCCATCCAAGTTGTCGAGTGTATCAATAGTTGGTTCCTTGTTGCTCGGGAGTGCTCCAGGATGGATGGACTGTGGTTTGTTTAGGCATTCACCTGGTGAAGGACGTCCAGCTTTAAGCTATTACAGATAAAGCTGCTATGGACATTTGTGTGCTTGTTTTTGTGTGAACATAAGCTTTTATTTTTCTGGGACAGGTGCCCAAGAGTGCAACTGTTGGATCCCATAGTAATTGCATATTTAGTTTTAGAATAAACTGCCAGCCTCATTTTCCAGAATGGTACCGTTTTCATCCCACCAGAAACACGTGAGTGATCCACATCCTTATCGGCATTTGTTGTGGTCACTATTTTTTTTTATTTTATGCGTTCTGATAGGTGTGGAGTACTAACTCATTGTGGTTTTTATTGGCATTTCCCTGCCTGCTAATGATGTGGAACATCTTCTCATGTGTTTGCTTGCCGTCTGTAGACCCTCTTTCCTGAAATGTTTCTTCATTTCCTTTGCCCATTTTCTAAATGGGTTAATTGGGTGTTTGCTGTTGTTGTTGTTTAACTCTCTTATCCTTCACTACCCTCTCCCTTCTTTTATTTCTTATTCCTTTAGTAAACATTTATTAGCATGTACCATCTATCAGGCATTTGGAATACAGAGATAAAAGACAAAGACTTTGCCTTAAAGGAACTGATGGTTTGGAGGAGGGGACAAGTAAGCAGAGTTCTTCTATGTAGGAGACGCACCTACTTCCCGTCAAGAGAATCAGTGAAGCCTTGCTTCCTGGAGGAGGCAGCATCTGATCAGCATGTGGAGGCATGAATATATTTATTATACTTTACGTATATTACAGTTGACCCTTGAACATCGTGGGTTGCACTGCACTGGTCTGCTTATACATGGATTGTTTTGATAAATATAGTACAGTACTGTATGTGTATTTTCCTTATGATTTTCTTAATAATTTTCTCTAGCTCACTTTATTGTAAGAATACAGTATATAATACATATAGCACACAAACTATGTTAATTGATTGTATGTTTTCAGTAAGGCTTCTGGTCAGTAGTAGGCTATTGGTAGTTAAGTTTTTGGGGAGTCAAAACTTATATGTGGATTTTTGACTGCACAGGGGTTGGTGCCCCTAACCCCTGTGTTGTTCGAGAGTCAGCTGTATACTGCCATTACATTTGAGACATTAATATAGTAAGAAGTGCCTTCTGGGCGCCTGGGTGGCTCAGTCATTGAGCGTCTGCCTTCGGCTCGGGTCATGATCCTAGGGTCCTGGGATCGAGTCCCACATCAGGCTCCCTGCTCGGCAGGAGACCTGCTTCTCCCTCTCCCACTCCCCCTGCTTGTGTTCCTGCTCTCGCTGTGTCTCTCTCTGTCAAATAAATAAATAAAATCTTTAAAAAAAAAAAAAAAAAAAAAGAAGTGCCTTCTAAAAGCCCCTCGGTATCTTTCTAAGTAATTCATAATGGGAACTTGTCATTAATTCAAGGTTAGTAAACACTGAACACAAAATATCATCCTGGGTTCTTGAAGATTCTGAGATAAGACAGCATTCCAGACTCCAAAGGTGTATGATCTAATGGGAACTAGAGATTGATAACCAGCAGACAGTTGATTATAGAAGCACAAATTTAGTAACACAGTAGAGTGAGGAATTATCACGAGGAGGTTGGGAAGATTTCTTAGAGGAAGGAGGGTTTGAACTGGCATTTGAAAAAGGAGTAGAACTTGAAGACGTAGATATAAAAGGGACAAAATTTGTCATACACTCCTAGGTCCCTGCATGTTATAGATTGCCAGACCCCCATCTTGCTCTTACCCACAGAGTTGCTTCTGAGGAAAGGTCCCGGACCTAATGTCGGAGTCCAGGTTTTGCTAATGGCTTCAGTTGAAGAGATTGCTAGTGGAAGTCATGTCTAGTTTTAGGATGAGATCCGCAATCTAATTTTAGGCGGTCCTTCATCTTAACAGATAGATGGAATGAGACCTACAGAGGATCAAATTCAGCCCAGCCTTATTGCTCCTGCTGGCCAGGCCAGTGGATGTGTTTTGTCTAGAAAGTCCTCAGGCCAAGCCAGGGAAGTGGTGTGGATTTCCTGCTATGTCTCTGCTAAAAATAAAAAATTGATTGGTGAAAATAAAGTGTTACACAGTGGATGGGGAATACTTCCTATTTTAAAACATTGCTGTTTATCTCCTTGTAATTTTTTAAAATCTCCCTTAAAGAATATAATTTTTTTTTAAGATTTTATTTATTTATTTGGCAGAGAGATAGAGAGAGAGAGCAAGTAGGCAGAGAGGCAGGCAGAGGGAGAGGGAGAAGCAGGCTCCCCGCCGAGCAGGGAGCCCGATGCGGGGCTCAATCCCAGGACCCTGGGATTATGACCTGAGCTGAAGGCAGCCGCTCAACTGACTGAGCCACCCAGGCGCCCCAAGAATATAATTTTTACATATACTCTTAGGTAAACCACATTTACCAAGTAAGTAACTTACAAAGTGTCAAGAAAAGACAGAACAAACCAACTTTAAAGCTTCTGTTTAGCAGAGATGAGCGTGTATAAGAAGCTGGACGACATTAATGAGATGGGGAGAAAGTCAGGTTTCTTCTCTCAATAAGAGAAAAAGAAAGGCAGTTATAAACTAACATAAACAAAAATATTTTATAAGAAAGTCATGGCCCAAATATGTAGCAAACTAAAATACAGCATGATTTTGAGAAATTTATGAGTCTAATAAAGGATATTCCAGCTGCCACATTCTTCTTAAATGACACAGGAGTCAAAGTACTAGATCTGTAGAGAAAGAAGTTGTGGCCCTTTGCAGTGAATGACATTTACCTAATCACCATATTGTAAATGCTGCTGATTTTCAGCTTTCAGAATTCACATAAAATAGGAAGACAAATATGTTTACAGAACAAGAATGGAAATGTAATCAATCTCAGCAATGTACAAGCAAAGTAGACAGAAGTTGAGTGTTGGAAATGGGGAGGAGAGGAAGAAAGCATGGCCGGGGCTAGTGTCCTCATCTTGTACATTGGGAAGTCCAGATGCTGGGCAACACTGATGAATGAGGAAGCTGAGGTTTTTAAGTTTACTACCTAAGTTACAAATTTGGTAACAAATGGAAGAATTAAAGAGTATAATATAGCTATTTGAAAGGGTTCAGGGGTAGCTGGGTGGCTCAGTCGATTAAGCAACCGGTTTTAGGTCAGGTCATGTTCTCAGTGTTGTGAGATCAAGCCCTGCATCATCAGGCTCCATGCTTAGCAGGGAGTCTGCGTATGATCCTCTCCCTACCCCCCTACCCCCCCCCACACATACGTGTTCTCTCTGTCTCTCTCTCTCTCTCTCTCAAATAAATAAAATAAATCTTTAAAAAAGGGGGAGTGGTTCAGGACATGCCACTCTAAACTATGACATTTTGGCATATTGATGGTTATGAGCTGAAGGCATTTGGAAAAAAGCAGATGTAGGAAGGCCTCTCTGACCTGCTCCTTTCTACCTAAAATCAGGTCATTAAATTTCCCATGAGAACGGTGCCCTCCCTGCACCAGGAAGAGAAGAACGTTCTTATCACCGGAGACTGGGAGTCAATGCTGAAATGGACCTGTATGAACAAACCTACTAAAATAACCCTTATCTTCCACTGCTTTCCCTCGTATATTTCTTAGTCACTTTCCCACAATTTACTGTCCCCTAGTCCATGCCCCTTTGTGTTGTCACATCTCCGTAATTTATCATTCTTTGTGTAAAACAAAGTATACAAGCTTTTGGGCCTAACAGCTTCTTTGGGTCTTTGTTTTCCTTTTAAGGACTCCCATGTACATGTAAAAATAGTGAATAAAATGCGTGTGCTTTCCTCCTGTTAGTCTGTCATGTCAGTTAATTCTTAGGCCAGCTACAGAGTCAGAGGGCAGCAGGAAGTTTTTCCTCCCCTACACTATCAAAAAACTGTAAAAAGTGGAGATGCAGAGGGGAGACATAAGTTAAATCGTAATTTTTCAGGATTGGCAGTCAGTTGAGAATATCTAAAGAAATAGCAGTGTAAGTATATTGTGAGTTAGGATGATAATCCCCAGAACTAAACGCAGCTCTAAGTGATAACCTCTGGGAAGTAGTACAGTAAGTGAGCAGGGATTAGGCAGAGACATCATTTTAATGTCATATAAGCAACTGCATTGGTAAAAAGAAGTGGGAAAAGAAGTTTTAGTGACCAGCAATAAAATGTGTTCAAAGGAGCAACATGACAATTAGATACCCCAGTGAATTCTAATTAATTAGTTTTGAATTTAAGCAAAGAAGCACTTCAGTGATAGGAAAGTACTCAGTGTAACTGCAGATCTTTCATTACCTAAAATTTAAAATGTAGTCTGTAAGGATTTTAATTTTCCTAAATTTGCCCTTATGCAGGAAAAAGAACTAGTTTAACTCCGACATAGATATGTAAATGCCACTTTTGTTAAGAGAGATCCTGGCTGTTTTTTGAGGCGAGACAAAATGAACTGCTGTGAGGCACTTCTCAAAGGTGTAAAATCACTGGAATAATCCAGAATTTAGCCTATTTAATATAACATTTAAGCTCTTTCCTTGTGCATAATTTTCAATGTATTTTTCCCCATAAGAACACACTTCTGATTTTTATCATGCCAATCATTGAAAAACAGCATTTATTAGATAAACATTCCCTTTGGACATATCTTTTTGCAAGGTCGGGGGGCGGGGTCTGGCTCCAGGCTCACACCCCACGGGGTCGTGGAGGTGCAGAGGGTGCGGACCAGGATGTGGGCTCCTGGGGACGCTGCCACGCATCTGCGGTGCCATCCTGTGGCTGTGATGCTAAATTAGAGCCTGATTTCATTTTCTTCTCTCCAGGAAGGCCCTTTTGTCTACTTGTCTTTTGTAGGAAACGTTGCGGATTCCGAAGGCTTGATTGCTTCATTGTGTAAGTAATTTTAAAATGTTTGCATTTGGAATGTTTGAGGAGATTAATTGCAAGTATGGCTGTCAATTAAATGAGTCCCTGTCGCACAAATGGTGTGATTTCATTTATATGAAATGTCCAGAATAGGTGAATCTCTAGAGACAGATGATAGATTTGTGGTTGCCTAGGACTAGAGAGGGAAGACAGAGGAGGGGGATGGAGAGTGAGGGGTTTGGGTTTCTTTTGGGGAGTTAATGAAATGTTCTAAAATTTCATTGTGATGATTCGAATCTGTGAATATACTAAAACCCACTGAACTGTACACTTTAAATGGGTGAATTGTATGATGCGTGATTTATATCTCAATAAAGCTGTGTATTAAAAAATATGTTTATACTGCAGATTGAAGAATTTGCAGTATTTAAACTGGGTGCTTTTCCGTACTTTTAACGTCAACCTTCACTTTATCATATATACATACGAGGTCTGTATATGCGTGTGTGTGTGTGTGTGTGTGTGTGTGTGTGTGTGTGTGTGTGTATGTAGTCCTGAAGATAATTTCCAAAGCTCCTCTGGTTCTGCAGAGGTGTTAACTAGTTTTGCCTACCTTCTTCATGCTGCTGTAAATCAGTCAACTTTCCATCAGTTAGTATCGACTTCCTCCCCCGTACTGTGTCAAATTTGACAAACAAATGAGCCAGGCAACAACAGGATCCTTCACCACCATTATAGAATTGCCTTATGCAAGGTAACTTCTTTGAGACTTTGCATCAGAAATTCTGCATTGTTTATCTCATTTCTTGCATAATTCTGAAATCAGGTCCTTCAGCCAGGACCTATGTCCAGACTGCTGTTCATCACTAGAGTTAGGGAACTTCGAGAGAATCCAGGCAGCTATCGTTAGTGCTTCTCAAAGCAAAATGTGTGTTGTCTTTGATGCCTGTCAGGTCCCAGCCAGGGGTAGCTCAGGGAGCCTGAGCCCCCACCTCAGGAGGGAGGTGTTGCTATGCACATTCGTGTGTGTGATGTGATGAGTGGGCCGGATTAAACTGTGCCTGAGAGTTGCTGGGGAAGCCCAGGGGCTGGAGGACGCAGCCTAAGTCATTGCCCTCCACCCTGGCTGCCTGGCCCGGCATCAGAGAAAGTGAACGACCCAGCTTTGGCCCAGTCCCATGAAATGCAAATGTCTAACATGATCTTTATCAGTCATCTTCAGTTTACATTTTTTTGGCCTTAAAAAAAGTAAAAACTCATTTAATGGTGGTGTCCTTTATTCTTGAGAAAATGAAAATCCAGTAGATAATGTAAAGTAGTTCTTCTCGGACTTTAAAGTGCACCAGCTTGCCTTGGACTCTTGTTAAAATACAGATTCTGATTCAGAGCGTCTATGGTAAAGCCTCCCAGATGTTGATCTGCGGACTGTCCTTTGATTCACCAGGATGTAGAGCTGGGCTATAAACATCACATGGACCCTGTTAAAGAGGAATTATTCATGACACTTGTTCAAGATGATAAAGAAGAATTTATTCAGGAGGTACCCCTACGGTGGAGTCTTGCAGTAGGGAAGCGAGATCGGGCTCAAGTCCAGATGCAACAAGGACAGGTGGAGCTTTATGGCCAAGAAGGTAGTGGGGTCAGTGGCTGGAAAATTACTAAGAAGAAACATCAAGAGTGGAGACTTTCAATAGACCGACTCAACAGGAATCTTGCTGCAGGCAGGCCAGGATGATAGGATATGATATAGAGGGTGGGGGATGAGGAATTTGATCAGGTATCGAGAGTAATCAGGTATCTGCACCCCCATGTTCATGGTAGCATTATTCATGATAGCCAACGCATGGAAGCAACCTAAGTGTCCATCGGTGGGTGAATGGATAAAGAAGTTTGGGGTGTTTGTGCATGTGTATGTACACACGCACGGGCACAATGGAATACTATTTAACCATAAAAAAAGCAAGAAATTCTGCCATTGTGACAACATGGTTGGACCTTGAGGGCATTAGGCTAAGTGAAACAAGCCAGACAAAGACAGATACTGTATGATTTCACTTCTATGTGGAATCTTAATTAAAAAAAAAAAAAAACTCATAGAAAAAGAGATCAGATTTGTGGTTCCCAGAGGTGGGGGGGTGGAGACTGAGGGAATTGGATAAAGGACTAAGTACAAACTTGCAGTTCCAAGATAGGTAAGTGGAGGGTATAATGCACAATATAATGACTCTAGTTACCACTGCTGTAAGTTATCCAGAGAATGGATCCGGAGAGTTCTCATCAAAAGGAAGAACACACTGTCTTTTCTTATTTTTTGTGTCTATATGAAGAATGTATGTTCACTGAACACATTTTAATCATTTCCTGATGTACGTAAGCCGAGTCATCGTGACGCACATGTTCAAGTCATACAATGCTAGATGTCAATTACATCTCAATAAAACTGTCGGGGGAGGGGGGTGAGTGAGCAAATACCAAGAATGGAGGACTTTTGCTACACTGACTCAGCAGGATTCTTGCTGGAACCGGACTAAGTGGGCCAAGGACAGAGCACTAGGTGGAGGCCCCGTCAAGGAGAGGGCTCGGAGGAGCCTGACTCAAGCTGGGTCAAGAAGACGGTCTTTGTCACCCCTCACCCTCTCCTAATCTCCGCTCTAGGGGTGAAGGGCCCAGCCATGACTCAGGGACTGGGATCCTACTCCAGCCCTCAGTGCATCTTTCCGTCTAAACCTCTGCCTGAGCCTGGCATCAGTCGCAAAATAAATGGCATCTATCCTATCATTAGGCTTTTGAATGCTCTGTTTGCCCTTTGCTATGCAGGTGCTTACCCAGCAGAGAAATGGCCAGACTTGAGCAGGAGAGGAGACGATACCAGAGGCTTGATGCACTGGGACCGCCTTCCTCTGGGGCATTCACCTCGACCCCCCCCCCCCCACACACACAGGCTCCTTCAGCTGTGCTGAGGCAGGCAGACACACACACACTCTCTCTCTCTCTCTCTCTCTCTCTCTCTCTCTCTCTCTCTCTCTCCCCCCCCCCTTCAGCTCTGCTGAGTTAAACAGGATTTCAGCCATACTTTGCTCTCTTCACTCCAGGCCTGTGCCTTGGGCATGCTCCTCCCTGAAACACCCTCTCCTTCGCCCTGTGCAGGGGTCACCTTTTGTGGTATAAGGCCTGAAATTAAGATCCAATATTATGTATTGACAGCTGATAAAATCCAGAGGGCCTCACATGGCCTAACCGCAAGGCCCCTCCGCACTTTTGCTTCCTCCTATGAGCCCAAACGACCCTCCTTGTCCCAAGGACCAGGCACGGTGCCCGCAGATCCCTCAGGAGCAGGCTTCAGTTCCTTGACAGCCCCCCGGATTACTAGAAGAAGCCCGTTCCTGCCGCAGGAACCAGGGGCCGCCCCTGCCTCATTGCTGCGGAGCCTGCCTCCTGCGGGGCCCTTCCCGGTTCGCTCCGGTTCTGAGTGCAGCCCGCGCATGGCCCGGTGACGCGCAGTGCCCTTTCTCCAGGCTGTGAGTGTATGTGACTTGTAAATTGCCATCAGCCTCGTCTGTCCAGTGCCACCTGTTGTGTGTGGCCACCCCCATAACCCGAGGCTGGGGGCCCCTCCCCACCAACAGCGGGAAGGAGGAAGTGAACACACCTCACCTCCCTCACCTGGCCCAAGTGTCTCTTTCTCCACGTCCCACGTTCGGTTACCGTCACTTACTGTGCAGTTTGACCTCAGAAAGGGAGCCCCTAGGGGGTTGCCTGTGTCCCCCGTCCTAGTTAAGACTGCATTCCCCAGGCCCAGCACAGAGCCTTCCTGTGCTCCGGAGGCTTTGCTGAATTAAAGAATGAATGAATGGGGTTATTTTTGCATGTCTAAACACCCACTGATCTCTTAGTTCCTAAAGCACTGAAATTTTACATTACTGATAATTCCTTGGATTTTGGGTGCACTAGAGGGAACATTTCAGATGTTGCATATAAGTTTATTTTTTTTTAAGATTTTATTTATTTATTTGAGAGAGAGAGAGTACAAGCGGGGTGAGGGGCCGAGGGAGAGGGAGATTCCCCGCTGAGCAGGGAGCCCCATGTGGGGCTCGATCCCAGGACCCCGGGATCACGACCTGAGCCGAAGGCAGACGCTTAACGGACTGAGCCACCCAGGCGCCCCCGTTTATATCTTTAGATTTAGAGGAAAAACTTACTTTCACTATTATGTTGTTTTCCAGTTAGCTCCTGGCTGGCCGTCGGCCCGGGACAGACAGGGCAGCTCTGCCTGGCCCGTCTGTGGTGTCTGGCCTTTCAGAGTCTCTGCTCAGCATGTGTCTGTGTATTATCTCATTAAATGGCTAATCCTGTTTATTGGCCTTTCTTTCTGCCAGGACAGCCTTCATTAGAACCCTTTGTCCCTGGCCCCGAGGGATCATCACTTGGGCCATTAATAGAGACAAGAGCTTTGTCCTGCTGCTCCGACCCATCAGATAATGTAGCTGATATTTGATCATTCATGCCTTTTCTAAGTAATGTGAGAACAGTATCAAAGCGAGAAGAGGTGGGACTTTCATTTTTTCACTCTGATCATTTGAGATCTTATGAGCAGCATGTATTACTTTCATAAATTAACAGAGAGAGAGAGGACAGAGGGAGGGAGGGAGGAAAACAGAGAACGAACGAAGGAAGGGGGGGAGGGAGGGAGGATTCTCCCAGTGCATGACGCAGTCCAGCTCTAAAATGACTTTCTCACTCCATTCTTTCTAGAAGAAACCATCCTGATAATGGGGTCTGGAAAGAGTTCTTAGGGCACACCCACTCCCTGCTGACCAGAGCGGAGGCTTCTGTGGTGGCTGTTCTTAGTGACTCCTGTCTGCACTGAAATGCCCCCCCCACCCCTGTCCATCCGGGACCCCTTCCGTAGTCCAGGCTGTGTCATTGCCATGCCCCCCACCGTCCCCTCGGCACTCAATTTCTCTTCAATTATTAATAGACACTTTTTTAAATAAACGTTTCCTTGATAAAAATTTTCCCACGTCTAGATTATACCTACAGACTTTACATAGCAATTTTGAAGTAAGGAATCGTAACGCGCTTACCAAGATAATTATTAAGGATCGTCTTTGTAAAATCTGACCGAGCTGAATTAATTTAGAATTCTGCTTATAGTGAAAAGGGCGGGGGCGAAGAGGATGCATGTGTGAAAGTGCTTTGGGAACCAAAATCCTTTTTACAAATGTCACGTGACGTCGTTATTACTACTCGTGTCACGCAGCAAATGGGTTTTAGCGTCAGTCCTTCTGTGTTCTGTGAAGGCATTATGAAGAATGGGGGGGGGCGACAGTTCTTTTTTTCTCCTCCTTAGGGGAAAAAAAAGTCATTTCCACTGACTGTCATAAAAATGGTTGCCAGATGAGTAACAAAATGTATTTCACTTGTAGGGAAAGAATATGGCAAAGCTGACGCAAGATGGCTTTATTTTGACCCAACCATTGTGTCTTTGGAAATTCTGACTGTGGTCCTGGATGGGTCTCTGGCATTAGTCCTCATTTATGCCATAGTCAAGGAGAAATATTACCGGTAAGTGCCCTCCTCCTGGCCTGCGGAAGAGAGGACACACATGAGCTGTGCCAATGCCCGTGTGGCGTTTGGAGTAGATGACGACCACATTTATTTGTGAGATGAAAAGTAGGGTAGAAATGAAAATTGTTCTGTTAGGTAAGAATCGTGGTGCCACCAGATAATTTCGGATTGTTCAAAATAAAAATTATGAGAAATATGGTTGTAGGAACCACCTAGTCACTGTACAGGGCAAGAAAGTGTGAACGGCATTGGATGATTGTTCAGCAATATTTTGGAGAATAAAAGGGTCATACTTGCATCCTTGCTCCTCATCCCCCATGCAAATCACTCTAGAAAACTTGTGTTCCACTTTACAGCAAGTAAATTTTCTTATGTAATTTGGAGTTAGACATGCAAGATAAATCCTTCCCGAAGCAGGTTATGGAGGATGTGAAGAAGGCAGAAGAGAGGGGAGGGGAAGGGGACAGGGCGATGGAAGATTAACTGCCTGGCGTCGGTCAGACTCGGAGACGTGGAACTCTCTACCCTCCCTCCTACCCTTTCCCTTCCTCTCCTTCGCTCGGACACAGTGACCTGGGGCAAATAGAATGCTCTCCGGGGGATGATTCCCAAAAACAATGTCAAGTAGGCACAATCGCATTCCATTTTCTAGCATCTTGAATTGAAGAAGTCATTTTTAAAGCTTAATCACAAGATTTCAGCTTTGAATGGAACCTCCAAGGTCATTTAATCCACCTTTCCCCACCCAATTTTACTTAGATAGTTAGCAGGAAAAATTAAATTTCTTCTTGGCATCTTGATATAACTTTGGCTCCATGACCTTCGTTGTAGACTCACTGCCCACTGTATTCTTTGAGGAAGGTACAGTTCTTACTATCCCCTTTCCCGGAGGGGGTAGTTTTACCCCCAGGTAAATTTACCTGGGGGGAAATCCTAAATCCTCAATTTACCCAGCAGGTAAAATTGTGGCTTGTAGCAAGATTCGCATCTCAGTCTCTTTTGCTGGGTGAGGTGTGACCTCAGTAAATCTTCCTAGGACTAGAACAGGGTACCTGGGAGACCTTACTTAACTCTGAGAATAATCTTCTAGAAAGGGCAGTATTGCTTCTCCAGAGGATGTATGGATCTTCCACTAATCAGATTGACTTGCCCCATCAACGGAGCGCTGTGCAAAACCTGAGGTCTGACTCCAGAGAGGTCTTCTGCTGTGGAAGACTGTGTTAATGCTGACATCTAAGACAAGATTTCAGGATTCAGGGTGCCCAGCTGCGCTGAGCTCTTGTTTCTCTCTCTCTAACAGGCATTTCATACAGATTACCCTGTGCGTGTGTGAATTGTATGGCGGGTGGATGACCTTCTTCCCAGACTGGCTTATGGGAGGCCCCAACCTCAACACCGACAACTGGCTCTACTTTGGGGTCTATCTGGTATTTTTCAATAGCGTGTGGGTTCTGATGCCAGGGCTGTTACTGTGGCAGTCATGGGTGGAACTCAAGAAAATGTATTACAAAGGAACCAGTGCAGGGAAAAAGTTTCAGTGAATTTTCAAAATCACAGACACTGGTATCTTGCTTTATAAGCCAGAATGGGTCAAACCTTTTTGTTGGTCAAAATGTAATGCATTCCTGTGTACACTTTCTTTTTCTACTGTTGTTCCTAAACAGCCTATTTCAAATTGATTGTATGGTGGCAAGTTTTTTTTTTCTTCTTCAGTTAAATTACAATATGGGGAACAGAGAATAAATTTTAACTTGTAATAATAACCCGTTTGATTATATGTTTTTATGGCTAGCATTAATTGTTCTGCATTAATAAAGCCAATTATCATAAAATACTGTAGAGCCTATTAATTTTTTATTCCAAGAAAGTATTGTTGCCTCAACTTTTAAGCCTCTCACTTGTCTTTTGGTTACCAAAGTGAAGCCAGAAATGAAATGAATGCTTCTGTTTTACATTTGTATTTTGTCCAAGTTGTGAAGCCAACAAAAATGCTAGTAGGAGAACCCTGTGAGTGGGCTAACTCCTCACAGGTGAGCTCGGGGGATTCACACACAGACAGGTGATTGATTTATGTCTGTCTTGTTTCAAGGAGGAAGATTGAAGTGCCTTACAGAAATACACTGCACAATATGACAAAAAAGTAAATCGGGAAATAGGAACCCAGGGGAAATAAGAGTGGGAAATAATAAGATGACCCTAAAGTTAACGCATGCCATAATGTCGTACGTAATGGGTAGAAGTGAAGCACACAGATTTGGCACTTACCTCCAATACCAGGAGGGAAGCATGACCACGTTGTGTCTCATAAAACACCAGTTTTGGGGAAGCAATTGTATCAGGTCTGTCAGAGGTGGGGGGCAGGCACTTACATGAACTTGTTCAGCACATGCCTTTCTTACTCACATCTGAGCTCACAGATGTATCCTCTGCCTAGAAAAGTGTCTGGCACACCGGCCAGGCACGTGGTGAGTTACGGTGGATCCTGTAGCTCTGCGAGCTCGGTCTGCATCGTCCCCTCCTTCTAGTTGTCTTATCCCGCAGAGGATATGTAGGCTGTGGTCCTGGATGCAAAATTGGTTTCACCTTTCAGAAATACTTCTGAGAGATCCGGAGGGTAAAAGCGTGGATATCATTTCAACTCTTCCTCCTTTTTTTTTTTTCCTTTTTCTTTTATTTATTTATTATCATTATTATCATTATTGCTGTTTTGTGGTGACCCGTGAGGGGTTTTGGCATTTGTGTTCCATTTCCCAGGTACTGAGAGGCAGATGGAGTTGGGGCACAAGAATAAAGTGTTTGTGGGCTGAGTAGCTCCAGTGGTGACCTCTTTGGTACTGCCTCCCTCGGGGGAGGGTTCATTCTGTGGGCATCTGGGAGTCATTCCTAGAAGCTTAGCCAAGGATCTGCTCTTGCAGCCTCCCAGTGAATTTTGTAAGCACCCAATTCCCTGGGCTAAATCCTCAAATCTCCTAGAGTGATTTCTGTTCTCTGCACTGTATCTTGACAATGATATTTGTTGAATATTGAATAAGTATAGTCAGACAAGTGTGAGGAATCTTATATTATCACATTAAGGCTTTAGAAGTCCTGCAATAAAGAAACTTGATTAACTTGTGGGGTTTTTTTTTCAGATTTTTTTTTTTTTATTATTCATCTGAGAGAGAGAGAGAGAGAGAGAGAGCACAAGCAGGGGTAGGGGCTCAGTGGGGAGTCTGCTTGGGATTCTCTCCCTCCCTCTCCTTTTGCCCCTCCCCCTGTTCATGCTCACGCTCTCTCTCAATCTCTCTTTCTCTCTCTTTTAGGTGTATACCTTACAGAAATGCTTGTTTTGTGCACCAGAATGGCAGCATTATTCACTTAATAATCCCAAACTGGAAACAACCTAAATGAATATATTGTGATACAGACATACAATGGACTACTTACTATACAATGAAAATTAACAACCAGGTTACTCATAACAACATGGATGAATTTTCCAGACATAATGATAAACGGAAGAAACCAGACTAAAAGAATATATATTGTAGGATTTTATTTATAGAAGGTCCAAAAACAGGTCAAACTGTGGAGTTAGAAAACAGGGTAAAAGGGGCGCCTGGGTGGCTCAGTCGTTAAGCGTCTGCCTTCGGCTCAGGTCATGGTCCCAGGGTCCTGGGATCAAGCCCCGCATCGGGCTCCCTGCTCAGTGGGAAGCCAGCTTCTCCCTCTCCCTCTCCGCCTGCTGTTGCCTCTCTCGCTGTGTCTCTCTCTGTCAAATAAATAAAAAAAATCTTAAAAAAAAAAAACAGGGTAGGGCGCCTGGGTGGCTCAGTTGGTTAAGCGACTGCCTTCGGCTCAGGTCATGATCCTGGAGTCCCTGGATCGAGTCCCGCATCAGGCTCCCTGCTCAGCAGGGAGCCTGCTTCTCCCTCTGACCCTCCCCCCATCTCATGTGCTTTCTCTCTCATTCTCTCTGTCTCTCAAATAAATAAAATCTTTAAAAAAAAAAAAAACAGGGTAAAGGTTGCCTTTGGGGGAGACGATTGGATGTAGTGATGGGGGAAAAAGTCATGAGGGGACTTCTGAGATGCTGGTAATCTATTTTTCTCATTTGCGTGGTAGTCTTAATTTGTGATAATTCAGCTATACGCTTATGAATGGTATGCTTCTCTCTATATGTGTTCTACCTCTATTTTAAAAGTTTATTTTTAAAAATCCCTGGTATGAAGACCTGGAAACTGTCTTCAGTGGGCCCCCATGAAGAGAACACTGTGTCCTTGACTGCAGGTCCAGGATAACTGGCTGTTTCTAACGGTGTCCCCGATGTGGGCTGAAGGCAGGATGCCAGGCGGAGAGTCTAAAAGCCTTTCCATGAGGGATTACCTAGTTGTTTCCGGTACTCTGCTCTCTGCTGAACTAGCTCAATCCAAGGGTAAACAGAGTAGAGAAAAATAGATGGGCTGCCGATCCTGCAGGCAGTCCTGAAAACATGATGTCTCTCAACAGAATTTTTGCTGAGTGTTGAATGGGAGAGAAATGGGGATTATAGACTTTGACAGGAACTTGGAGTACAGATATGCGCTGCTGCCAAAGAAGGACAGATCGAAATGTTTTCGCAATTAAGGGAGTTGGGGAGACATTGGTGTCCCGGTGTGTAAGTCTAACAGATCAGGGTAGATAGAAGCCCTCCTCCCCGTCAGAGAGAGTTGGGGACAAGGTGTACAATACTCTATTTCATTGATCCTAAGATAGATTTTTTTCTCCATATTTTAATATTTTAAAATTTATTTTTATTTTTTATTATGTTATGTTAGTCACCAATATTTTAATATTTTTAAAAAATTAGCGTTTTACAGTTGCTGGGCCATAGTTAGTTGGCAGTGCTTTTTCTTTTTCTTTCAAAGTATGATGCATCTTATAACTGATGGTATCTGAGATTCAATTAAATAAGTCACTACCTTCAATGTTGCCCCATCAAGCCTCAGTATCTCTAGCTACTTGGAGTCTGATAGTTCAAAATTTATTTTAAAAGTCTAAATTTTGCTTGGGACCTTAGGGATCACTTACTTTAATACCCCCCCGGCCCCTCCCCCCATCCCTTCACATTTGCTGCCTGGGAGCCAACCATAGAAGGCCTGCTTTGATGAACATATGAAATGATTTGCAGTAGATTACTAATGGCTTATATTATAGGTAACTAGATTCCTGCAAACAGTCCGTCCCTCCCCAGTATTGTTTACACTGTAAATTTCCTTTGCAAATTCTTCCTTTCCAGATAATGTTGAGGCAAAGAATCAGCATAACCAATCCCACCTGGTCTAAATGATAGTTTCCTTGTATTTAATTACGTCAGTTCTACAGCTCCTGGAGTACTAGCACCCGGGCTCCAGGAAAAGTCTACAGATTGCAGTATGAAAGTGTAAAATAACACTTTGTCAGAGACTGGCTTGATGGAAGACAAAATGCCAAAAGTTTGGGGAAGAATCCTTTGTTTTTCTTTAGTTTAAAATCATTATTAAAATCCACAAACGTTTTCTTGTTTGTTATGAAAGCTAGAGTTTGAATGGAAGGATAAATAATTTATACAGAGAATCATTGGGCAAAGCCTTGCATGAAGAAGGTTAACGGCTGCTCTCCTTAACTGTAATTAAATGCCCTCGAGGTACTGGGTAGGGCCTGGGAGGCCTAAGCATAATGTGAACTAACCTCCAGGCTTGTCTACCCATTGCTCTTTTAGAGTCTCTACACGTTCCGCCCCGCTCCCCACACTTAGCACTGCTGGACACTCGCAGACCCCAGACCTAACAAAATCCATTTCCTGTCACCACTTCATTGTAGGAAACAAATCACACCCATTAGTTAGTATTAAGGTGTTAATAACTGTAATGGCTTGACGCATTGCCCTTCCTGAATGTATCTGCATAAAAAGTATTACACAACTGATAACGTTTGCATTGCCAAAAAATGGAAAATTCAGATAAGCAGAAAGAAAAAAAAATAATTATCCCCAGAATCGTCAGGAAGAACCACTATTACAAATTTAGTTTCTAGTTCTCAAGCTCCTGTCTGTGCATGTATTAACATTTTGGGGAGACTTTAACATTTGAAGTAGGACTTTAACACCCCTTCCTTCCTCTTTCTCCCTTGCCCTAAACTTACCATCCAAGAAGGAGAAGTTCTACACGTACATGTAAAACCAGCTGTGGATAGTATTCCAGAACATGCCCCCATTCTCGAGAAATGCATGCCCTTACAGAGGTGGAGAGGTAGCAGTTATCATTTATTTTTGGAAACTAGTTTCCGTAGATGCTTATGTTAACACAGATCAAGTTGACATCTTAAAATATTTGATTGGCCACCTCCCAGCTCTTCAAGGGAGGGATCAAGTGTGCTGAGCGTGCTGTGGTATTATGTCCTACATGTTTAATCCTTTCCCTTCTCGAAGCCTTCCCTCCGTCCCCTGAGAGTCAGAGGGAAGGACTCTGAATTCTTACAGCGCTTGTCTGTGTCACTTAAGTAGCCCTGGGTGGCCTTGTATTGTTATTTTTGGTGTCCATCATCACAACTCCCAGGTGCCTCAGGGCCACACTGAGTCCTACAATCTTATACTGTCAAGGGGCCTTGGAGAGGTACAGTTTATACACAAGGAGGCTCAGAGGGCTTAGCTAACTGCCCAAGGCCACACAGCATTTTAGTGAGGTAGGACCCAGTGTTCTTCCTTTTCCAGCAGTGTTAGACATATTCCCAGGAGCTTACAAGTTATGGAAGTTATTCAATTTTGTTCATTTTTTTATGATCTAAAAAATTTAGCCTAAGCACCTTTCTGATCCTGAGTCTATTCAT